AAAAAAACTCCCTCTTAACAGGAAGCAAGCTCCTGCAGAACCAGGCTCAGGGAGAGGCAGCCATCTGCAGTGAGCGGTTGGGGGTGAGTGGAGAAGGGAGATGATGAGGACCTGATCATGAGGAGACTCCATCGTTTCTTTCCACTTAACCATCAGAGAACTTTGGGTTATTGCAGGAGTGTCAGCTCATGGAGCCACATACAGTCTTCAGGTTGACTATCACACCTTCTGTAGTTTTCCTTTCTTCCTTTTCACTGAGCTTTACGTTTTATATTTCTGCATCCCCACATTGTGCTAAATTTTAGGTATTTCTGTGTTTTTTAACACACACACACCATGCATTTCTTCTTCAACTGATCCTGTTCACAGCACAGCAGATCATCTGTGTCCGTCTCACTCTATGCCTCCTCCTCTGTCACACCAACCCTCTGCATGTCCTCCGTCACTACACCATGAATCTTCTCTGCGCTCTTCCTCTTTTCCTCCTGCCTCGCAGCTCCATATCCAGCATCCTTTGTCCACTGAATCCTCTGTCTCTCCTTTGCACATGCCCAAAGCATCTCAGCCTTGCTGCTGTACATTTGTTTCCAAATAACAACCTGAGCTGTCCCTCTGATGCACTCATCATTACTAATCTGCTCACTCCCAATGAAAATCTTAACATCTTCAGCTCGGCCTCCTGTGTTTTTGTCAGTGTCAGCATCTCCAAACTTTACATCATAGCAGGTCTCACTGCCATCTTGGAAACCTTCTGTCACAAATCACCTCTGACGCTGGTTTCCACCACCCACGCCACCCCACCTGCACTCTCTTCTTCAACTCTCTTGTTCATGAAGCTCGTGTTTAGGAAACAAGTGTGCACGCTTTAAACATATTATTTGTATTGACTTTATATGAACCGATGCAGTCACTAAATCTGTCAGACTTAGTTGTGTGCACTTGTGCGTCATACAGTGGAAACTATTTTAAGGTGCCATTACCACAGCAACACTAGTTTGTTGTACACAGAGAACATTTCTCCTCTTTTTGTTCACTGTATAACTTCAACAGCTAAAATACTGCCAAGCTTTTAGTATTTCTGAGTGTTTTGTGTGTGTGTGTGTGTGTGTGTGTGTGTGTGTGTGTGTGTTTAGATTTTATCCAGGTAGTTAATGGTTCTCGGTTTGCCCGTTTTTAATTGATTATGTTCACAGGCTTTCACCAGATTTATCTCTGATCGTTTAAAAAGTTTGCTTTATGATTACATTTTTACTTTAGTAAAAGTATAAAAGAGAGCCACAGACAGACTCATTAAACTGAAACAAAATGCATACATGCATACATGCATTTTCCATGTAGTCATTTTAACTACAGTATAAAATGTTGCAATTAATAGAATCTGATCAAATTGTCTGTTTACAGGCACATTTTCCTTAATGGTTAATTATTAATTAATAAACATTTAATTTGTTATCGTTTTTCATATTTGTTTCATTTTACTCAGAGTTGTTGCTTCATATTGATTGATTGTGACAGTTATATGCCATGGGCATGTATGGCTGCCCGTGGAAGCAGGTCACTACTGTTTATTGATGACGTGACTGCTGATAGAAACAGCAGCAGGATGAATCCTGAAGGACTGAGCTTCACAGTGCAAATGGATAATGACACAAAATGGTAAATGGCCTGTATTTATATAGCGCTTTACTAGTCCCTACGGACCCCAAAGCGCTTTACACATCCAGTCATCCATTCACACACTGGTGCAAGCTACATTGTAGCCACAGTCACCCTGGGGCGCACTGACAGAGGCGAGGCTGCCAGACACTGGCGCCACCGGGCCCTCTGACCACCACCAGTAGGCAACGGGTGAAGTGTCTTGCCCAAGGACACAACGACCGAGACTGTTCAAGCCGGGGCTTGAACCGACAACCTTCCGATTACAAGGCGAACTCCCAACTCTTGAGCCACGATTGCCCCACAAACCAAACTGCATAAACAACCTAAGATGGCCAAGAAAGTATAGAGACCCACAAACAATCAGCAGCTGAAGGTGGCTTTAGTCTCAAAGGAAGATATGCAGCAGCTGGTTCTAGACTTGAAGGACTCACTGACTGCAAAGTATTTTCCCCAGTTACTTTAGAGCGTCTGTAAATTGGGTACTTTGTATAGCTACAATGTTTTTATTAAAACCCTTGAATCAAAGTTCAAAGTCTGTACTTGAGTCACATCTTAACTCTTTCAAACTCCACAAAAAAAAAAAGATGAATTGTTTCATTTTGTTGTCTTAAACTTCTGGACCTAACTCTGTAATTGCACCACATAACATCACTGACTGTCATTCAGTGTTTTACCATATAGTTTTTAAAATAATTGTGAATAAAAACAAATGTTCAGAAAGAAGCAGCAAAATAAAACGTGGATGAAATCACACTGAAAGCAAGAGAGGAAGAAGCTGGTCACCATTAACACAGGAGAGGCACAATATCGTGGGAATATGTAGAGAAAACAGGGCACTCATGGAAGATACTCATTATATTTGCTCCAGTGTTTACATGAATAATGACAGAAATAGCTGACACAGTTTAGGAGTGAACTGTGTCTAGATGGCGGTTACAGAAAGCATCGAACACAGCTGACAAATCAAGACTTCCGAAACGTGTGAGTGGATTTCCAGAGAGTAAGCTGATGCTTGGTCCCTTTGGGCATCGTAAATACTGAATCATCCAGTGTGTATCGGGAGTCATCTGAGGATGCATAAAGATAACAACAGCTCCTCTCTTTCGTTCACAGGTATGAAGAATAGGGAGCTGCTGGAGTCGTCCCGTGGGCATGTTTGTCCTCTGGCCGTTCAGCCTGTGTGTCTCTGCTGTGCACACAGGAGGGAGAAGAAAGACCGTCTAAAAATAAACTGACACCCACCACCAGCAGGAAAACAACATCCAAACTGACAAAAACAGAGAAAAAGAGCAAAGAAGAGCCCTCTTTCCACCCTGTCTGCCTCTTTCTCTGCTCCATTTCTGTTTCTGTGTCCTCATTACGTGCTGAGAGGAGGTCATGTCCCAGTCTGGAAAAGTCCTTCATCTGTATGTGGAAGTGAGGTCTGCCCCAGATCAGAATGGAGGAAAGAGGGAGAGTGAAGAAGGGATTGCTCAGGGGCATTCGGTTCAGGACAGTCCCGCGGAGCTCCTCTCTCAGCTAACGAGCCAGACGACACGCCAGATCGTCAGCAAAGCCTCCACTGCTCGCCACCTGGCTCAGGACTGCACGCACGGCCAGTCTCCCTCTCGAAACACCGTTAGCTTTCAGCTCCAGCAAACCAGCAGCTCGCCTACGATCAGCAAGCGTTGGAGTTCACCCCTGCACTCTTCACCAGCGACCTCTTCGGGAAAAGTCAGTGTCCCTCACACCCCTCCTATTCGCAAGAGGCTTAATGAAGAGGAAGTCAGCGACGGGAAGCGGAGTGTGGTCACCTTCAGTTACGTCGAGAAGTCAAATGTGAAGAAAGTGGAGAGTCCACGCAACTCTGTGTGCGAGAGGCGAGCCAAAGAGGAATGGTCCACGTCTTCCAGCTTTCGAAAACGCCTCAGCGACCCAGTTTGGTTTGGGAGTCCCGATTCATCGTGCAGCTCCAGTCCCAAGCTGACTTTCCAGAGTCCAGGAAGTCACCAGCAGACGTTCTCCCCCGGCCTTTGCAAGCCACACTTTGACCCCATCGGCAGGGCAGCTACCAAGAGGGCTGTAGAGGAGTTTGGATCCCCCTTATTGAGGATTAAACTGGCCCACGCACTTGAGCACACCTCAGCTTCATGCTACCACCAACAACCGCGCTGTCAGTCCTGGGCTGGATCTCCTGTTCAGCGTCAGAACATCAGCGTAAACCCCAAAGATCTGGCTCCATGTGGGCTGCCTTGGAGCCCAGCCTCAGACCAGCTATCCTCGCAGTCCAAGCAGTCCTCGCTTGAGAGATCCGGGCCCCCTGAGCCCCAAAGCCCTCTTCTGACTGGAAGTCCAGCTGTCAACAGACACATTAAGAGGACCTGCAATATGAGCACTTCACCGCAGGGCGCAATCCTCCAACTTGGCAATAATGGAGTCGACGGTTTGAACCAGTTAAGCAACAGCAAATCTTCCTCTCCAGCTCACAGTCCTGAAGTTGCTCGCCGGATGGCTGAGGAGGCCACCGAAGCATCTTCAGTTCTCACAGAGGCGAGGAGGTCCTCGTTGCACAATGCTTTAGGAGAGCTCACAAGCAGCTCAAACTCTGGAGAACCCGCTCCAAATGCACAACAGTTTAAGCAAACGCTCAGAATGAACATCCCTTTAAACGACCAACAACACACGCCAGCAACCGACAACACAGACTCACACCAGCCTGAAAACTCACAAGAGACAAACTGTCACACTAATCATGACACAATGCAGCAGAGCTCCAGCTTATCAGCCACTCAGAATTCCCCCGCCCTTCCTTCACGTGTCCTTCGTCCCTCTCATCCTCCCACAGAGCTCAGCTCGCCCATTAGGGACCCGAGGCTATTCCAAGCTGAGCTCCGACCGCCAGATACCCCCACCCTGCATCGCCGTCAGCCGCCACAGTACACCGGAGACTCCTGGTCCCCAGGCCTGGACAGGAGAGGAGATCCAAGCTGTTTCGAGAAAGGGGACTGCACGGAGCTCGCTCGTAGACTCTTTATCAATCAAAGTGTTGAGGAGGCGCCGGTCAGCTGGACTTCCAGGCAGGAGTGGGGGAATGGCGTGGAAAACAGCCCCAAGCCAAGCCCTGAGCCCGGATTACAGTCTAAAAGGGTCCAAACACCTGATCAACAATCCAGGCAGCGCCGCAGGCCCCTCAGCCCGACAGCACAGCAGAAGCGGGCTGAGCAGAGGAGGAGGGAGATCCTTCTCCTGGGTCCTGTGGTGCTGGACTCTGGAGAGGAGGATGAGGGCTGTGATGAGGAAGAGCAAGGTAACGAGAGGGAGGGATACGGTGCAGCACTGCAGCCTCGTTCTCGGAGGGCCGAAGAGCCTCCTGAGGGGGAGCAGAACGGCGTTATGGGAGGGTCGTCTTCACGGAGCTCCAGCGGGGTGACGGGGAGCTTGGGAGACAGGGACTGTGTGTCCCCAGAGTCCAGCCAGTCCAGTCACCAGAGCAATGAGACCGGGGCTGCCACCTCAGGAATACAGGTGGGTTCTGCTGATGACAAAAAAGAAGGAAGGAAGGTATACTTGGATTTTTGACTGTACGCTAACCACCTTTTCCCCTCCTGCCCGTTAATGCTGCACTGCAGAGTTAGCCTCTAAGCTAGTGTGTGTCTCTTGCAGACGGACAGTGGATGTGCAGCGCCCGTGCCCTCGCTGCACTGTCAGAAGATCGCTCGTGCTAAGTGGGAGTTTTTATTCGGGACCCCTGCTGAGGAGGCTGCTGGCAGGGGGGAGAAACGTGAGAGCATTTCTGTCTTACTTATACTGAGTTTCTGCACGTTCTGCCTTCATGCTCTTCCTTCCTCTTCCTTCCTCTCATGGGAACATTTCACACAGAGATAGAGAAGCTAGTGAAGTAGCAGTGCTGCTTTCAGTTTGTCGTTCAGGGAAACATACTCAGGTGTGATGTGTCAGCTGATACAGGAACAGGGCAGCAGGGATTTCTTCACAAAAGCTTTTCTGTTTAACTAAGGAAAATAAAATCAGGCAGCTTCCTAATATAATTCTCCCGTTTATTGTAAACATTTTAGTTTCAACAAGGATATCTGTGAATTTTATTTATTGTTATCATCATAGAAATATTTGAAAAAAGTAAAAAAAATAAAAATAAATTTTACCGAACTTGCAAAGTAAACCATAACATTCACAATTTGAGAAAACGGTGTTTGGCAGCACGATGTGTGAGTGTTCTACTCCCTACCATTTACAAAGGGGAACCAATCAGAAGAAAGCTTGCTTAAACGAAGGATGGTCTTAAAGGGGGATGAGCAAAAATAGCTTGCTTCAGACATATGATCAGCTGCAAAGCTATGCTAAGCCAAGAGCTAGTAGCCCTATAGCCCTGCGACAGACTGGCAACCTATCCAGGGTGTACCCCGCCTCTCGCCCTATAACAGCTGGGATAGGCTCCAGTGCCCCCTGTGACCCTGAAAAGGATAAGTGGATGGCTGGATCATCAATTTAACATGTAACTTGATCAATCAAAGGTATATAAATTGACAGTAATAGAATACAAATTTGATGCTGTAAATATTCTGATGTTATATATTGAAAAGGGGAAGAACAGACTTTTGGTCATTGCAGTCATAAAAATTCATTCAGTCATAGCGATTAAGGCTTTAAACTTATGAGGAAAGTGTTACTGAGGTTGCAGATAAAGGCGCTTCTGGGCTGTTTTTCCATAGACTTCTATATGACCCAGTCTTTGTAAGCAGGGGAGTGGCACACTGCTAATCACCTCTGCATCATCCTCAGAAACCACATATGCCTTTTAAGTGGTCATAATTGATTTTCTTCCTCTGCAGATTCTCCAGAGGGAACCTCCACAGCTCCTCCTAGTGGTAACTCCAGTGAGTCTCCCACCCCTACTCCGCCATCCTCCCTGCCTCTGCTTTCAGCCAACCACGAGGTGCAGCACGTGGAGGTAGAGCTGGTGACCCCTCCCCCAGCCGTCATAGGGACATCGCCCAAAACGGGCATCATTCGCAGGACACTCAAGTATTCAGAAACTGACCTGGACGCTGTCCCGCTTCGATGCTACCGTGAGACGGACATAGACGAGGTGCTGCTGGCCGAGCAGGAAGACGCCGACTCTGCATTTGGGAGCAACCGCAGCGTGCAGGGAACCTCAGGGACGGGCAGCAGCCCTCTGGGAGGGCTGGCTTATGGGAGAACAGATGGGGAGGAGGAGGCGATAAGGGAAGGAAGAGCTGTGGAGGAAGAAGGAGAAGACGATGAGGAGGAAGAGGAAGAAGAGGAAGAAATGGTGAGCTGGGCAAGTGTGAGGATGCAGGGAGACAGCAGGAAGCAGCAGTATGCAGCTGAGGAGGAGCCTGAGGTGTTTGGACACCTTCTGAAGAGGTGAGCAGACGTCTCGTGTGAAGCTGTAAACACAAACTGGAGAATTCTGGTGATGCAGGATGTTCCCCTGACCTTAATGTAGGGATCTCATCCCTAACCTACTTTTCAAGTTGGTCATAATCAGGAAGTAAAAGTCACAACTTGTAAACAGTTCAGTAAATTACGTTCTGCAAAAGAAAAAAAATCTTATCAAAAGTCTCTTTTTCTTTATTTTCTATCCTGTCTGTTCAGACCAGTGGAAACCTTTTTCGACAACCACCATCCAGCCTTGAAATCCCCCATCTTAGTATCCGGACCCCGCCTCGCCACAGAGGACACCTTCAGCCGCCACTTTGAGAGCATCATGGAGTCGCACCGAGCCAAAGGGACGTCGTACAACAGCCTGGACAGCGAGGAGCTGCTCACCTCCAGCACCCACACTGTCCTGACCTTCGACCTGCCCACACTAACACCCGCTATCCACGGCCCCGTGTGCCAGAGCGCCAGGCAGATCGTCCAGCTCAGCTTCGCCCCGCTGGCGCACGACGAGAGGCCCAGCCTGTCTGACTCTATCTTTACTGTGACGGGGGACTCGGACGCCACCCGAGCTCCCTCCAGCGAGAGGCTGAGCAGCGGATCAGATGATACCCCGCCCAGAGGGCAGGATCGTTCACAGCTGGGGAGCAGCTGGTACAGCAACCCCTCCTTCTCCTTACCCAGGTGAGATCGCCTGTCAGGTGGAAAGTTCACTGATTAGTATTTTTGGTGAGTCTGAGAGGTTATTTACGTATAAAAATCTGGGGGAGGATTCTGAAAAATCACTTTCAATGGGATCTTAAGAGGAGGAGCAGGTGCAAAAAAAAGCTATTGATTAAACCAAACTAGGGAGAAAATTACTCTAAACTACAGAAAACACAGCTTCACAACAAGCTGCCACCTCCTCACTGGGTCTAACGCTTAATCAGAGTATAAAACGTACAGCTGGGGGCTGTGGCTCAGGAGGTAGAGCAGGTTTGGTGGTTCGATTGCTCCAGTCTTTATACCGAATGATCCTTGGGGAAGATACCAAACACAGAGTTGCTCCTGATGCATGAATGTTAGATATAAAACACTTAGATGCAGAAAAAGTGTTTGTATCACTGTGTGTGAGTAGGTAAATGAGGCATGAAGTATAAAGTGCTTTGGTGCTCAAGTAGAGGAGAAAAGTGCTGTTTAAGAACCGGTCATTCAAACAGTTTTAGTGGTTACAGAAAACCCCTTTCATTTTCTCCTGCACTGCTACTGTGCTCCAGGCTGTTACTACTCAGGAAATAATCATCCAAACTTGTCTTCACTGCCGTTATTATCAGCTGATTTCCAGGAAACACATGTAAAACACATCAGAAAAACGGGAAATACAATCCCCAAAACATCAACCTTATTCTGACTAACAGAGCACGTCACAAACGCACAAACAGAGAACAGAAACTTGATAACGATTAGGCTTATCGCCGTTTCTCTTTGAGATCAGGGTCTGATGAAAAGGGGGAAGGATCTATTTCACATGTTAAGGTTAATGTGTCCTGAAGGAGCAGTAACGGGAAAATACACCATCGTCACAGGATGTGGGCGCCGATTTTCATCTGTTCGTGCTCCTTTTTGCTTCTCTCAAATGACCTCACCCTCCAATGTCAACATGAGCAAAAGCTTTATATTTAGTTCTCGCTCTTGACTGGTGATAAATTCGCCGGTCGAAGGCCATTTTTTTATGAGAAGAAGTGACACATACCGTAATGAAATCTGAACACAAGGAGACTCCTTGGACACACAGCCGTAAACGTTGACGTGTCTCCAGTGTCCACATACGATCCGACCGCACAACGTGTAACAAGTGTAAACAGAGTTAATATGTCAGCATAGTGATACTAAAAGTGCTCCATTGCATCTCTGTATCTTAATTCTTTCACTCTACTGCATCAACTTTGTAGTTCAAAGCCTAATTTATTATATAGTGGGCTTAGTACAGTTCATCTTCTACCTGAAATAAGCTGTTGTAGCGTTCCTTCCATCTTCTTATAAGCCAACTTACTGTAT